ATATATATATATATATATTATTTACTTGCCTGACGATTGTACGTGTAGTGGCGCCATACATTAATCACCATATCAGTCATATGCAAATAATACAATAGACAGCAGCTTTTTCAAACCAATCTTTATTCTGAAAATGATGTTGAATTCTAGAACACAGCAGTAAGGCCCCCGCCTCCTGGCAGTGAGACTTTCTGTTGTCACTAGCTATAGCGAGTCAAAACACCTATATACTTAGGATGGCCCCAAGATACTGTCTACGTCACTGATGACGTCAGCGGCTGACTGGATGGTAGACGTTATCGCTGCCACTTCCTTCTTAACTTCCTCCCAACCTGGGGAAATAGTTAGTACACTAGAATATAAAACTCTTGCGACTTATGTATGTGTAGTGGTGCCATACCTTGTACAATCTAAAATATATTTTATTACTGCGGCATCAAGCAAACAAAATTGTAGTACGCTTTAAACTGAGTACTTATGCACAATATAGCAAACTTGTGCTACGAAAGACCGTTATCCTAAAAGCACAATGTGGTACGTACATGCATACGTCAGGTTGTGTTGGTTGTGTGCCATATATCTGAAATATTTCTCACCGTCATCGTTCACTGGTCCGCCGCACATCGTCCTCACTATGCCGGGGAAAGCGGCGCTGCTGTTCGTTGCGCACCCCGATGGCGAATAGAGAACATGTCTGAAGCAAGACAACTATCTGGTCAAAAGCTCATGCTACCATTACGTAGGATAACATACCATTGGTAGCAAATATCGATGTACCGACGAGCCTTTGCAATGAATTATAGATAAGATGCCTGCCAAACATTCACGTTATACAGAGGTCCAAGGCCAGGCAAAGAAAGGCATACCATACCAAGAAGGAACAAAGCAAACAAGCAAACAGGCAAACAAACAACAAGCAGACGAAAAGAAATCGACCCCCATCTATAGGTATGGGACCGTACAGGCATTTCAACGAAACGCCAGCAGGGTTTTGATATGTTATCGATATCATCTTTAATTTTAATTTAATGTGTAAATACCAGCATAATGAAGACTCAAGAAGTTAGTGGCATTTTGAATAAACAGTTCAAAGAAACTTACTTGTTGAAGTGATGCGGCTGCTGGATATCAATGAAAGCTGTGTTGACCTGGACCATCTGGTCGTTCAGACTCCGGACCAGAATAGGACTGTTTGACAAGAATAACAGACGGCATGTCAACGGACTTTGTTTCCAGCTCTAGTTATGCCACTGGGACTACTACCATCTGCAATACCTTCGTATCCACGATATATTCCGTGACATATACAATGTACATGTATTAGATTTAGTGGATGGTGTACACACACTTTTGGGGAACAATTTTACCAATAAAATTTGTGCTGTCCAGCTAGCCAATACAAACAGGACTGAATTCGAAAATTATCAATTTGGTAACTAACCGTTCTCATGAAGTCGTTTAACTTATAATTAAAAATCAAATATATATAAACAAAAAATATATAATATTATATATATAAATGTACTTCTGTCATAATAGAGGAAGGTAAATTGTAAAAAGAAATTATTATTTTGAGTTTTCAAAATTGAAAAGAGACATTGTGAGAAAAATCATCAACTTTGCCTACTCCTTCTTGTCGATTGCTTGTACCCGATCTTGGAAGCCTTCTGCCGCTGCTATGTAGTTGTAGACGGCTGAACGTAACGCGTCTGAGGATGATACGACGATGGTTATATATCTTTTCGATATTACGAAAGTATAGCGTAACCAATAGAATACACACACACACGTACACACACACACACACACACACACACACATATATATTGGTTATGCTGTACTTGTAATATGGAAAAGAAAAGGCACATGTGGTATAAAATGGCAATTATGTAAGAATAAAAACGGAGAAATTAACTATTTAATTAAACAATAATTATGGCAAATGTTACCGATACTGATGTCTTGATTCCGTAACATGGAGCCGAAATCCTCTTCCGTTTCATGCAGAAACTTGCTCAAACTTCGTCCGTATTTCCGACAGTCGTAAGGTAGTACCAGGGCATCTGCTAGTCTTCGGACCAGCTCACCTGAGGGTTGCGTAAGTCAATTTAGCAGAAACCAACTGTAACGTCCTTTCTATAATGATTATAACACCGGAGTCACGGAATGTCGTCAGTCGACATAGCTTTTGTCTTCAATCAACATTGTTAAGCTTTGACTCTACCTGTAGATTTTACTAGGTGAATGTAACTTGCCAGTAGCTTTGCCATACACGGTGTGTTGTTTCTTCTAAGTTCTATCAATATTGAATAGCATAGGATATACCGTACTAGATTAAAATTAATTATCTACAACGTTTTGCCTTACAGTTGTTGTACAATAAACATTGTCTTTATCTGAAATAAATCAAATGACTGAGACATATCCCACCTGATATACGGGTCATGGCCCGATGAACAGTGAAGTCTGGGTCCACAAACCTCTCCATGAGATCCATGTTGTCATACGCAGTGTGGTAGGACGGATATATCGACCGAGGGGAGTAGTTGGTCTATACAGGATGAAAAATGTCATCCATGTTTGGGTATTCTACCTCGGGCTCTGGAGGGAAGGACTGGAAGGTGACGGACAGAGAAGAGCGGGAGAAGAAAGGGGAAGGATGGGTGTATGGAATGGGGGGGGAGGGAGGGTGGTGCAAGCAAACCTGCATTATTACTACGTGCAGAGTCTAACGTTGTTATACAGCAATCAAAGCTGAGCAACGAGCCACTCTCATTAGCCACTCCTCATTAGATTACTGACCCATGTATCACCGGGACTTCCAACCACAACCTTTGACACATTACTGACGTCACACGTGCATAAAGCCACATGACCTGAGCGATTCAATCAAATAGCCGACAGTGATTAAGAAAAATATTCTGATCAGTCCATTTCTTTTTAGAATTTTAGAATTGTTCAAGAGGTAAGTTACCAAGTCAGATGAATTTTCATACTTGTGACTACCTACTAGTAGATACAATCATCATAGATACAATGCAATATGCTGAAAACGTAAAGAGAATGTTGTTGATAATATGATCGCGGTGCATCAGTACTTGATTATTGGAAAGCTTCCACATCTCCAAAATACCTCTAGCTTGTTGTACTTACCTGGTCATGAGTGTAGGCGAAGGTGAACAGTGGAGTGCCGACACGGAGACCAAAAGAAATGAAATCTGTACTGACAGGAGGCCATCCAAGTCTGCGAAACATGGCATAAATTAACAGAGAATACGTAAAAGGAGAAGGTGCCACGTGAATCGTGGTCATATTCGTCGAATGACGTTATACAAGTCTTGATGTTGTAGAGTTTTCAAGCAGGCTGTGACAGAACCAACCGCAAACAATACAACCTTTTCATGAAAAGACAGTCGGGTTTTGTACGACATATCCGCGACTGTCCGGCGAATTCCCTCAGTATGTGATCGTATGACTGCCGTACGATGACTTTGACCAGGCCCTTGGTAGTGGATTATAGTGATTTTATGACATTTCATATTAATTGAAGCAAATAAAATAGTTAAGGTTTGCCTTTATCTACATAGGAATAGAACGACATAAGGAGAAAATGTACACATAATGAACACTAAAACTGTTATGGATAAAGACCAAAGTATAAAAGTAGAAAATATGTTTTACTCGCATGATAGGAAGATCATGGTTTTAACATACTTGGGAACTTTCACGTCCGCGTCAGGATCTGTTGGATCTCTCTCTGACCAGGTCTCGTATACACTTTTTCCAAGAGATGCATCTGGGTCTGGCACCTGCATAGTGGATATGCACGCAGACACTATTTAGCTAAGACTGCACAAACCTCACGGTATGTAGAATTGCAGAGGTAATGCTATGTTAAGTGGGTATAAACACTAAAGATATGAATGGAGTAGTTTCACCACGTATATGGGTGAAGTAGTGAGAGTCTAATGCGATTTTTCTTACCCTTACTTACCTGTTTGGTTGTATCATAGATGACGTCAACCAAAGATGGGCTGCAGCCACCGAAAATCGAGTAATTACCTGTGTAGTGGGAAAAATGAACCACAGAAGCAAACCAGATGTAAGAGAAGAAGACATGATTCAGAGACCAGTTCATATCTGTCGGATACAAGATGGATAAGAAAAATGGAGATGAAGAAAAGGAGGAAGCTCAGAGGGAAATGGAATGAAGAATGCGTACACCGATGAAGTATACAAATCCAAGTAGAACATAACGCGAAATATATCAAGCGAATAGATGAATTCTCATACCTTTCATAGCATCCGCTATCTTTGCCAGCCTCTGAAAAGCGGAGGCTGTCTAAAACCTTTGATTTCTCAGAAAATTTGATTTTGTTATTAATAGGAGAAGAGTGAGAAAGAGGTAATGAAGTGGTGATTTAAGCATAAGGGAAAGTCAAAGTACAATGTAAATCCAAAATGCCTCACCACCGACTCCTATATCCATGTTGATATAGGCGACCATCCGCTCTTTGATGAGATCCGTGAATTGCTGAAAATGGATAATGTACTGAAGATATATATCGTCCACAGGATTTGCACAGGCGCATAAAATGTGATTTTGCTCTGTAGAAAATCATTCAAAACTACATCCCAATACAATATCATCCTTCTAAGTACATGATTCAAGAAACCTAATACTTCAAAGACCCAAGCATAATGAACTTAACCATCAACCATTCCATGTTAATCAAAAATAATTGTGATTTCATTAGTATACTTCAACATATTCAAGCGATCCCAATAAGGCGAACTCTTCCGCTCCCCAGGCCGCGAACACTACAGACCTCCGTGGCCGCCATGTACCTGAAATCATACATTATACTGTTTTATACAACAACGCATTCAATGCACTGGATATATGTTGACAGTGGCACCAAGGCAAGGCTGATAATGTTTTGACATATAGATCATATAGATTGCCCCGCCGAAGCCCATTTCACAAAGAAAGCCAAAATGATGGCAGAACTAGCTCAGTTAAAATAAATAACGACTACGCAAAGACTCTAAGCATAAATTGTTAGTAATATTACTTTTCCATATAGGCCGATATTATTGATATTTCTGTTTAAATATGGTTGCCTTTTCTACGTTATCACCTTCCTTGACGTTACGACATATTTTACAATATTACAAACGTTACCATCTTTGACAAGTCCTCCATAAACCCTGGTGAGCTCCAGACTCATGGCTGTAGAGCTGGTGTCATCAATGGCTCCCTGGACCCAGGAGTCGTAATGGTTCCCTATCATCACGTAACGGTCTGGGGGATAGGACAGTCGGGTTTGTTAAACATGATCATGAAGTACGCTGCTTCGATTTTTGTTTTGTCCTTGTCTATCTGCAGTTGAACAGGCATTTGACCAAAAACTATGAATTGATGTAACTGTTTTCTTGTGTTTCTGTTTCTCGTTATCTGGATGCCTTATTCAAAATTCTTCTTCGACGTATATATCGCTTTATATGAAAACGCATGCTTAAATTGCTAAACCGTTAAACGTTTTACTCTTGATAGAAATTTCTTTATGGGTCAGAAAATAGTAGAAAACTATCGTGGCGCTGTTACCTGGTTCAACTCTGCCTTTGATCATGCCCACGACATTGTAGACTCTGCGTATGGTCGTGTTTGTGTATACATGCAACGCCACCTTGCGACCTGCCCTGTGTAGTAAAATTCATATATTGACAAAAAAACTACAATCACTACCGAAAGAGAACACATGCTGTTAGCTCTAGAACGATTGAAGTGACATGTATGGCAATAAACGTACAATTTATTTATTTAATCTTCAAAGACACCTGGGTAGCTCCTTCAGCCAATAGCTGATTTCCAAGGAGGCCTCAGAGGGGTACAATAAGTAAAAGAAGGTAACAATACGTATAAAGGTGACCATACACACACACTGTATATGCTACCGTACTTTTCATATTATATCTTAACTCACCACTGGCCGGTGAACCCTGGTCCCAGTCTGTAGGTGATTGGCAGGGAGCCATTCCAACCTGCAGGGGCAACCTCACCATCTAGGTGGCTGGGAATAAAGGATTTTCTACGTTTACATTTTGTGCGAAAATTGAGAGTCCCACGACCTCGTACTTTCGCCAACTTAACGACACGATCCAAAACTAGCATGTCCAGATTTAATCTGATAATACCACTAATGCGATAATACGAGGTATGAAAACAGGAGTTCCGCTGCGGTATGGTAACAAACCGCGGCCAGGGGGCCCCAAATCTGAATCATTAGCGGTCCACTTGCCAATACCAATATAGCAAGACAATACATCTAAGCCATCGCACACACACACACACACACGCGCACGCACGCACGCACGCACGCACGCACGCACGCACGCACACACACACACACTCACACACGCACGCACGCTAGCACGCACGCACGCACGCACACACACACACACATGTACACACGCACAGGCACACACATACGCACACACGAACACTAACGCCAATGTAAGTATAAGCTTCTTGGCGAAGGTAGCAATTTGAAGAGTCATTAAGAATCATTAAGGGCATACCTTAAGTATTTCTGGGCGTCATTGTATGCAATAGGCTGAACAGGAATGGGCGGGAACACGCTGATCCTCTCCTCTGGCATGCGGTACGCATAGTCTGTGAAAGCAAGCAATATTAAATGAGATAACAGACCCGATACAACTGTTCACAGTCAAGCCAGGTACCAATAGACTAATTAGTAATACGTATCTTGATCAGATTCGTGTTTTGGCGTAATGTTTGAGTAGGGAAAATCTATGACATGATTTGTAGGGGTTGTAGGAGTGAACATGATACTTCAACATATCAACTCGACGGTACTGAAGCGCCGTCTAGTACTCCATGACAGTACTGCAGTAGCGCACCCTGTTTGCGCGAATCTGTAAGAACGCAGTATTAGACAACATTGATGGCAATGTGGCGTCCACCTGTTGCAGGATACCCCGGGGTTAGCGGGTCTCCTGGTTCTAGAAGTGAACTTCCTCGCTCCGTGCCGGTCCCGGGGAGGTCCCATCCATCGGGGTATACCTTCTCACCAGGCGCGTTGGTGTCCGCAGGTTCTGGGTACAGGATCGCCCCTATCGCACCGGCGGCCGCCGCGTTTATCGCCTGCGATGGAAAGTACAACGTCACAAAAAAAACCCACGACAATCTGTTCAATACCATAGCTGCCATATTGTTGGTTAATGACAATAATCTGAATCTGTTGAGAAAAGCCAATAGCACCGTATGATAATATATATATTTAGACACGGTGTAAACCGCTGTACTATTTGTAAGAGTACTAGAGGCCACCTTATGGCCCAGCATGGTGTAGCACCCCTTCATGGGAATTCTACAAGCGCACTAGAGGCTCTAACCAACCTGAATGTGATTGAAGTGTCTAAAACTGTGCATGTGACATATGAAAGTACTGGTATCTGTTTCCTTTCCACTTTATACGACAGACATTGATTGACATAATGATTTAAAAAGGGCTTAATTTGTGAAAAGCACAAAACAACAAACAAACAAACAAACAAAAACTGACTTTTGTTCCCCTCCCTCCAGACCTGTACTTCATCAGGACGATTTTCCCCGTGCAGTTGACGCCGACCTGCCGCAGGTAATCAAAGTCTTCCAGCCGGCCATAGTTGGCGTAGACAAGCTCTCCCTGAAGTCGCGCAACACCAAAATCTTCAGCTTTGAAAAAGTTATTAAATTTTCCAAGAAGGTTATGTTTTCTGTTATGCCATGGTGGAGTGTCGTGAACTGTATGTATGGCTGTCTTTGGGTGGAAAATATGATCAACTGCTGTAATTCATGCAAATGATGACCTTATTTGCATAATCAATGAGCTCGGGAATCATTTATAAAAATCAGCAAAGGTGGTGGAAGTCTGGTTTAAACATTTGAAAGTCTTTTCCATCTGAATTTTGCCTGAAGAACAGAATTAATTTTAACTAATCGTAAGATTTCATGTAAGCATTGTAACCGATATTTCATAATAAATACCACAGGATGCCCCGGCGGTGAATAGGCGATGTAGAACTGTACAGCGTCTGGATCATTCTGGTACTCGGGCTCGATATGTATGGTTCGGGTGTCCTCAAACTCTCGGGCAGGGTCGGCTCCGTCCACCGTCACCGCTGTGTTGTTAGGGCCCTCTGGGCCATGCGGTGGGTAGGACAGTAGCACGTCGTAAGGAACAAGCCTAAAAAGAACAAAATGCAACAACAACAGTACTATTTAATATATGCCTTTTTTTACAACAAAATGAAATGTATCTAATGGGTAATATTTGGGTAACGCCTGCATACCTGACTTCGTCCAGTCCGTTCTCCAACCACCTGCGTCTTAGAACTTCTGCCATCTCAAGGTCATTAGGTGTTCCTGCCATGTGAGGTTTACGGGACAGTTCTCTGTTGGACATACAATTAAGAAATAATTGAAATATAAAAAAAAACAGGATAATTAAAAAAAACAGGAACGAGAAATCAAAGGTTTCACACCCCCGTAAAATATTACGAGTTGTTGTGAATTTCATGTTTTATTCGTTATATTTCTCGCTGATTCTGTGCATACTCCACTGTTACTTCCCATCTTGAACGAAGACCATTTTGACCTCTGATTCGACCTTACTGTCAACCTGCGGTTGCAACATTTTCGCTTACTTCCTGTGCCCGCATTCAAATAAAAACTGACATACAAGCAAACAAACACACCGAAAACAAAACGTACGGAAAACAACTATCTATCTGTCTTCTGGACAAGAGCACAAATGTTACCTGAGGTTTTCCCTGATTCGCTCAGAATCTATGTTTTCCAGAATGTGGTCCCTGATCGTCTCATCGGCATCCTGGATGCTTGCCCGATACTTGTTGAGTGCTTCCCGATCTTCCTCGGTTAATCCTGACCTTGAAAACCACCCAATGACGACCCCAAGGCCAAAGGCAACGGCACCGCAGAGAACCGCCAAGAGTATGTACCTTCCCTTCGACATACCGTACCTGTGAAACGTTTGTATTTGTCTGATTGAGTTACATTTTGTGGCATTGGAACTCACTATGGTGTATTGCTGACGTTATCAGTTTCCCAGTGATGAGAACATCGCCCGCCCTTAGATAGAGCAGCACGGCCACAGTTCCATGTCTTGCTCGGCAAGACAGCATCTAAAGATTCTTTACGGTTCGAGTTCAAGACTCGGGAATGTGGCCGCGGTGCTCTATCCAAGGGCAGGCGATGTTCTCATCATTAGGTCGTGTCCAAACAATACATTATGTCTTGAACTCAGAAGTGACATTGTTGCCCGGGCATAATGTCATGGTTGACACCCAGCAGTCCTTTCTACATTACGTACACACAACGCATCCCTTCCCTAGTTGACGAAATCCATATGGAACCACTAGCGGTTTGATAAACAATCTGCCAGACAGAAATAATTAGGATTCCTTGCCAGTCGTGACCCCACTGTAGCCCTCTCTTCCCCCGTCCTTCTCCAAGTTATTAATTTAGTCGTTTTAAATATTCTACGAGTTCTGGTATACGGTAGCTCACTGAACTTACTTAAGTTCAGGTATTCGTTTGTGTACTGTTGCATCGCATACATATACGACATATACTCGTGAAAGAGAAGCAGTCGGTTCGTTAAACGCTGCCATTTCTTGAATTAGCATAATATGCTGGATACTTTGAAGATCTTTTGTAGATCTAGAAAGCTTCAGGTTTTCTCACCTCTGTTTTCTGCAGTCGATCAGACTCGTGGAACGGGAGATATCAGATATGAACTAAACTATATAGCTACCGCACCCATGTCTGTGACCTTTGACCTTTAACGCAGTACTGGGTTCCAACAGAACAGCTTGCCATTAAAACCCAATGGATACGATTGAACGTTTTGAACGTGATGATTTGGCGTGTCTATGCAAGCTGTGTGTCCGTGAAATTTTCTTCATGTACTCTGGTCCAGTTTTTTTTTTCTCAGTGCGCAAGCACCGATTGGCTCGAAAATAGGGCTGCGTACCTAAACGTAACATCAGGTACAGGTACAGGTACTGGTACAGAGGTTTAGGTACAGGTCCGGACCTGTACCTGTACCTGAACAATTTGACAAATTAACACGTGTTCTTCCCTTTTTCAATCATGACACAGAAACAATAATAAAGTGTTGGAGGGAATGGAAAATGACTGACCTCTGACCAGATTTGAGTTTGTTGACCAATCACAACCCTGGATCAGCCACACTCTCGCGATGTCTCGTGAGACTGAGGATCTCAAATCAATCGACGGTGTTTACGTCTTTTCCAGTGCTAATTTTTCGTCTTTGTGGTAGGATTTACCTATCTTTAGTCATATACATGGTGTAAACTAGCTATTTCGG